CAATATCTCCCTAGCATTAAAAAAACAATGACAGAAATTATCACTGAAACTGATGCAAGTGCCATGAAAGAAAGGAATATAGTTCTATAAGGTTGCTAATTATGATCGAATTATTTCAGACCAACTGTCTCACTGAAAGAAATAAAAAAGTACTTTTTCTTTTTAATCTGAGTATGTCGGGGCTGGAGAGATGGCTCAGTGGTTAAGAACACTGGTTGTTCTTGCAGAAGACCCGGGTTTGAATCCCAGCACCCACATGGTAGCTAACAACTGTCTGTAACTGCATTCCTAGGGGATCCAACAGCCTCTTCTGACCTCCGCAGGCATTGCATGGCACAGGTGCACTTACCTACATGAAGGCAATACATGCATACACATAAAAAATTTTAAAAATAATAATAAATAAAAGTCTGAATATGTCATAAAACTACCAGCAATGTAAAAAAATTAATGAACCAAAATCCATCCAGAACAGAGAGAGGTATCAAGAGATGGCCCAGCCAGAGTACTCTTCCTCTGAGGGCGAGGCTCAGAAGATAAGAGCTTCCTGTAGTCTCCTGGGTGAACTCCTGGAAAGTTTAAAAGCCAGAATGAAAGAGTGGGTCTTGTCACTCTGAAGCTTCCAGGTGACAAAGGAAAGTACTCATGACTGCCCTCACCAAGGCTCTTTGCTTTCAACCAACACTAAAGATGGTCAGGGCTCCATAGTCAGTGATTGACTCAAAATTTCAGCTTTAATGTACCTGAACCACTGACTATTTGAATATGAAGTTTCTTCAGTCATTTTCTCAATGGCTGTACCATTACGCATGGCAGTACTAGGAGGAAATTGGGAATATAACTTTAGTTCTACTCATGCCTCTTTCTCTGGACTCAGTGTATAGAAACCCCCCTGATAGGATTACTCAGCCAGCAACCATAACTTGCTTTTGTCTATTTACTTGGTGGCATAATTAGCTCTAAATAGCTGATATATAGTCTAAGCTTTGTATCAGTGGGATGTATATCCTATATGCCAGGTGAAAATATGCCATTCTTAAATACTAGTATCCTCAAATTATGCTTAAAAGAGTGTGCGTGAAAGTGAAACACTAAAGCACTCCCAAGTCGATTACTGGATACAGCAGGGGTAAGCTCCACTCTCACATTCACCCTGTGGTCTCCAAATCTGTATTTTCAATCTCTAGAGATACAATACTTTAGATTATTCCTTGACTAAAATAACATTCCCAGACAGTCTTCTACTCACAAGATGTTCTATCTCTGTTGCACTCTCAGACTCTTAGACAACAGCCATTCCTGGGCCACAGGTACCCCTTGACCTGTCAGATACTTCACTTCTTCTTTTTCTGAAAACTAAACTTCCTTGGTCAAAGGGAATTTGCAGTTTGTCAGAATATCAAAAAATATATAAAATATTCAGTCTATGGACTATGGTACTGAAAGGAAAAACAGGAAGACAGATGAATTAAAATACAAAGCATCCTAGCCTCCTCCTTGATGGAAGTAGTCTAGCTGCCTATGGTGCTATATTGAAAGCTCAAACAAGGCCATATTTTTACAAAATGTCCGTATTTTAATGTGCATCACCATATTCACTTTGATCAAGTACTAAGGAGACTTGGGAAAGCAGCAGACTGCCATAAATAGAGTGAATCATCCTGTTCACCTGCTAATTAAACGCTTCATTCTCTCTTTTGCTGGGCATTTATATGGGCTATATTTAGTCACACTTTGAAACTCCATTCAAAGAGTTCCATCCATACATGTCTTCCCCAAAATATTTTGTAATCAATCTTACCATTCTGTTTCTTTTAGGTCCCTGACAATCTGTTTATACCATTAGCTACTGACCATCAATCAGTATATATATACTTACCTCAGGCTCTCTCAGTAAGACAAATTGAATTCCTGTCTACTGGGACAATTTTCTTTCTCAACAGTCCTTTGAGGCTACCCCTGAGGGAGGAAATGATGGCTCAGTGATCTATTTCTGGTAGGTGCAAACGTGCAGAATCATTTGCCATTTTTAATCAAGTGTTTTCATGTTTAGTCAACTGATCTGAGGGATTACTCCCATGAGGATGAAGTGCAGTGTAGACAGACAAGGTAAGGTGAAGCAATAAAACTATATACACACCTACTTCTTCCTTACAACTGCTTGGGTCTGATCCTTGATAAACCACTGCAACTTACTGATGGAGCACTTCTGGCTTATCTCACGCCCATGTTGGTTTCTAATCCATCACTACTTCTTATGTAATGTTTCATCCTTTATCTCTATAAATAATCCTATCTGGCTCTGCTCTACACCACTGACCCCACTTTTATCACCATGATTAGCTCTGCCCACCAAGCTAATCATCTCCAAAATTTTGATTCCGTCCTATCTGTGTAGAATGTTCATTCTTAGGGATGCATTTTCGCCACCTCCTCAGACTATTGCTCAAATGTGACATTCTCAGTAACACCATCTTTGGAAAACCCCTTTGAAAATCATTCCCTTCTACCACACCCTGGAAATTCTGATATAGCCATATATTTTGCACCTTATACAAACTGCTATCTGATATATTATATACATTTTAGTTCATTTTGACACTAGAACCTATTTATATGAGAAATTTTCTTTTGCATGGTGTACTGTCATATATCTAATATATAAAATACTGGGTATGAACATATTAGACATTCAATAAATATCTGAATAGATTATAAACCACTTTTCACAGTCCTACCAAACTGTATATTCTATTAGGTATAACAATGGACCAAATCAAGTAGTATTGCTTTATGAATTAAAAACCTTATTTTTTCACCTATGTTGTTAACCCCAATTTGTTTTTCTAAATACTTTATGTATAAATGCTATAGAAATTCATATATGTGACATAAAACCTTTTAAGTCAAGAGAAATCAGTTCAATTTGTTCTTCTTTGCCAACATGTGATGGTTCTTAGGACAATAATGGAATTCATTGTTTCTGATTCAAACACAATGTGATTCTTTGTTTATTGCAAAACTCATTCAAGCAAACAATCAGAACTGTTCCCAGCTTGAAGAGGAATATTAAATCTAGAATCTAACTGAGCTATCCCCATCATTATTAAATGAGTTCTATATGAAATTATCAGGTCCCTCTTTGGACAACTTATAATCCACATACTCGAACACTCACAATCTATTTCTTTAAAGTGTGGAAACTTTAAAATCAACTGGTGTATGTTACAGGTTTTGTATAAGTGTTCCTACTAGAAGAAGCTAATTAGACTCCTCAAACCTTGTTTCAATTAACATTACATTCCAGGATGAATTTTTCTATGTGTCATATTGCTTCAATGTACCATAAGTTGTCAGAGACTCATTGTTAGCAAGGATTTTCAGTACTTTTACCTCTATATCAATATATTAGTTTTCCGTCACTATAAAAAAAATTACCAGAATTCAAGTAACTTGTAAAGAAAAGACTTATTTAGCTCACAGCTTTGAAAGTTCGTGAGCATGGTGCTGATATCTACATTGCTCTGGACTGGGTCCCTTTCACTGTATCATGTAGCAGATGACATCACAGTAGAACCACATCTGATATGGATCACATGGGGAGATGGGACGCCAAAGTGAGGACAAGGCAGTCATATTCTTTTGTAACAACGCTCTCTGAACTAACAAGGATCCCCAAAGATTTAAGTTAATCTGCTCTAATAGCAGCATCTCAATGATGTAATTACCTCCCACCAGGTCTTACCCCTTAATGGTCCACCATATTTCAATACTACCATAATGAAGACAAATCTTTCAACACACAATCCCTTGAGGGACAAACAACATCCAAACAGCAACAATCAGATAGTGCCACAGTGATGTTGTAGAAAGGGTTGAAAGCAATTCCTTATTCTTGCTTATGTAGCCTCAGGCTATCAGAAGTTGATAAATCTAGTTTGGGCTCAAATGTATCTTAAAATCTTTCCATATACCTCTCACCCTCCTTAAACCACCAGACTATGTATTTAGTGGGATGCTAATTTTTTTGTAGTGATGATGGAAGTGCAAAAGGATGACAACTGTAGCAACAATACACCTCACACATTTCTCACATCGGACCCACTCACAGCCCATCAACTAAAGCAAGCAAAGCACACGGCCAACCCCCAAACCAATGAGGGAGTATTTTATACCACACCCACAGTAAGAATAAAGTGAATGTTTGCTTAACAACAGTCCTAACAAGTCCAGATAAACAACTCCAGGTCCCCACATTTCTTTGAATGGTTGTACCTCAAAACTTCTGATTGAAATTTTTATGTCAATAGAGTTCTTAGAATCTAATTCTGGATGGTTTACTAAAAGATATCCTAAAAATATTAAAATATTTGTTAACAGATGTCACAGCCAGATAGAAGAACCAGGCTCAGAGACTCTGGCATAAGTAACAGTGTATAAATCCCAGCATTATAGAGATCCAAAACTACAAGACACAGGTATAAATCCCAGCATTATAGAGATCCAAAACTACAAGACACAGGTGTTCATCACCTCTGGGACCTAACCCTACACTGTCTGCTACAGGGTCGGGGATGATGATGTCAGTGTGATTGAACTGAGAGACTCCTGGAGGATTAGTAAAGCACACCCCTGAGTTTGTCTCTGAGAGATTTTTCCAGACAAAATCAGATCCTAAAGGTTTTGATGAAATCAATGGTTTGGTTCACTGATGGATTCAAAATCTGAGTAGGCTACTAGGAGACAGTGGAATTGTGGGAAGCTGTGGAGAGCTAATTGGAGGAAGTGGGTAACTCGGGTTGTGTTTTAAGGGTATATCTTGATCCTGGCCCCTTCCTGTACCTCTCTTATCAAGAGGTAAGCACTCTGTCACATACTTGCACCTCGGGCCCAGAGCAATGTATCCAGGAGTCTTGAATTGACTGAACTAAAATCTTTCTTCCCTCAAATTGTTCCATTAAGTATTTTGTCACAATAACAAAAATCTAATACACGGTCACTTGTTTCATAAAGCTGGGCACTAAAATGTGACTAATTTGATCTGAGATGTGCTTTACTGTAAAATACACAGAAGACTTCTGAAGCACAATGTACACATTCTTTTTGTTTCTGTGGTTGGTTGGTTTTGTTTTTTAAGACAGGGTCTCCATATAACCCCAGCTGGCCTGAAACACTATGTAGATCAGATTTGCCCCAATCTCAGTCTCACAGGGATTCACCTGTCTCTGCCTCCTGAGTGCTGGGATTAGAGGTAGGCACCACCATGCCCCACCCTAACATTTTAGTAAAATAACTAATTAAATCTCTTAAATTTGATTATACATTTAAGAGATAATATTTTGGATATGTGGATTAAGCAAAATATACCTTTATAATTAATGTTAATGCTGGGGATATTGCCCAGTGGTAAGATGCTCGCCTAACATGTATAAGACCCTAGGCTCAATCTCCAGCATCTTCCCCTTTTAAATTTACCTTTTAGTCCCTTTAAGGAAAAAAAAATAGGCTCCTAGAGTCTTCAGTGGTGTATGTGGGTCGTGTTACATTGCTACCACTGCATTGCTGACTGCAGCTTGTGCTACCCACCTTGGCAACGTGATGTGTGAGTAACTGTAGCTAGGACCTCCAGCAGTGTGCCCTCCAGAAGCAGAAGCCGCTACAGCAGCCAGCACCAATGCAGAGAGAGAAAAGCTTTCTCATCATGTCTTCTTTGCCTCTCTTCCTTGAAAACATAATGTGGCACAGACCCATCTGCTTAGCCAAACCTAGGTCACATGCTCATTCATGGTTTCAAAAGAGGCAAACTGAGTGAATGCATATTGGTGGATGCTACAGAAAGAAAGAAACTTGTTACCTCCCTTTTATACTCATACAGTAAGAATTCTCAAATATTGGTAGAGGTTTTGATATGAAGTACTCAAAAGTCATCTTTGAGCTGGTATTTTTCCTTTGAGAAATACAACTTTCAGAAGTAGAAACAAGGGAGGGATGGAGAGGGAATGATTGTTGGATATGAGTGTGGTGTTGAAGAGAAGGAATAATCTTTAATAGTCTATAGACCAAGAGGATAACTACAAATTAATGATTATCAAATATTTTACAATAGCTAGTAGAGGGGATTTTGAATTTTCCAACATGAAGAAATTATACCTTTCTGAGGTGACACATACGCCATTTACCCTGATCTAATCATAACACTTTGTATACATATACTGAAAGATAGACCATGCCCCAAAAATATGTACAATTACTGTGTGTTAATTAAAATTCAACATATATTTAGCTGGTTTGTACCTATAATCTCAGTACTTTGAAGGCTGAGAGTCAATGATTGCAAATTCAAAACCAGCCTGGACAATTTAGTGAAGCTGTGTCTCAAATAAATAAACAAACAAAATATTTTTCAAAAGAAAATAAACAAATATGGGCCTAGATTGGTTTCTGTTAGGTTGAATCTTCCCAGAATCAGAGACAGGAGTAGCTTGTGGAGTGATCCCACAGGCATCTGCATGGAGCTTCAGAAGGAAGACAAGACAGGGAAGGGAGCAACCCAAACAGATATCAAGGTAGGGACAACTGTGGCTCAGTACCTCTGAAACTGCAGGATATGGCTCAGAACACACCGCGGTGTTATACCACCTGAGAGTCAAAATGAGAATGCTTTCTCCCAGCACCTCCAATCTGCATAGAAGGAAAACTTCTAAAAAGAGCATCACAAGTGTCTTCAGAATGTGCAGGAAACATGAGGACAACCATGGTGTGAGCGAGGCACTGAGAAGCAAACAACTTACAAACTTATATATTGTTATTTAAGATGCTAAAACATACCCCAGGCATGGTGGCACATGCCTGTAATCTCAGCATTTGGGAGGTTAAAGCAGGATGTCAGTTTTCTCTATATATGGACTTTGAGGACAGCCTGTGCTACAAAAATAATATGAAATGCACAAAAGTTCCAT